ACATCCCACCTACTGGTTTTCAACAGCAGCAGCCTCAACTAGAGAAGAAGCCCCAGCTGGAGGAGTTGATTTTGGCTCATATGCAGAAAACACACAATAATTTCAAGGGCCTGGATCAATTTGTCACTCAACAGCTAGCCATCAACAATAATTTACAATCTTCTATGCTAGCTATGGAGAGGCAGATGGGACAGATGGCTCAAACTTTGGTAGATATGCAAGGCAGGATTCCCGGGACATTACCAGCAAATACTGAGAGGAATCCGAAGGATGCCATGGTTGTAGCAGTGACATTGAGGGGTGGAAAGGCCTTGGAAGACCCTAGCAGCTCGAAAAAGGCACCAGAGGCAGAAGAGGAAGCACCGGGAGAAAGATCTTGTGCAGAAAATAAAGAATCAGCCTTGCACAGGCAAAATGAAAGCAGTTTGCCTGTGCAAAAGCATGCTGCCCGTGTACCTCAAAAAGTGGAAAAATTGAAGAATGAAGAGGTAAAGCCTTATGAACCTCCCGCACCATTCCCTCAGAGGTTAATGAAGCCCATGGAAGACCCAAACTTCAAGAAATTTGTGAATATCTTCAAGCAACTTCAGATTAACATACCATTGGCGGAGGCACTTGAACAGATGCCTACATATGCTAAATTCTTAAGGGAGTTGCTGACGAAGAAGCGCAAATGGGCTGATCTGGAGAAGGTAACCCTTACTTCTGAATGTAGTGCTGTGATTCAGAATAAATTACCAGAGAAGAGGGATGATCCGGGTAGCTTCACCATTCCATGTGTCATTGGAGGTACAGAGTTCGATAAATCACTTTGTGATCTTGGAGCACGAATTAATTTAATGCCATACTCAGTCTACAAGAAATTGAGATTGGGAGATGTTCTTAAGCCTACTCGGATCACTCTCCAATTGGCTGATCGATCAATAAAAATTCCTAAAGGAGTGGTGGAGAATGTATTGGTGAAGGTTGGGAAGTTTATTCTCCCAACGGATTTTGTAATTCTGGAGATGGAAGATGATCGGGGAGTGCCTCTCATTCTTGGGAGACCTTTTCTAGCAACCGGTGATGCACTCATCGATGTTGGGAGAGGCAAGTTGACATTTCGAGTAGGTAAGGAGGAGGAAATTTTTAATGTCTTTCAAGTTGACCATAATCATGATGAATTTGAAAGTGGAGCTCGAGAAAGGAAAAATTCCTCTTCCTGTGATAGTGGACCACCCAAAGAACTATCACATGTCCTATCTGCTCAGATTCTGAAGTCAAAGCAAGGGCAGAAATCCTTGCCAGGTCACCTCAAGTATAGATATTTGGGTAAGGATTTCAATCTTCCTGTTATTATTCCTTCTTCACTGACATTGAAACAGGAAGAGTACCTGCTTGAGGCGTTGCAATACCACCTACGCCTCACTAAAGGGTCTAACATGCCAGCTAAGAAGGTCATACCCAATTTTCGCACACCTGGCCCTGCAGAGGTGACTCATATGCTGGATGGAGGTTATGCGTTCTATCATTGCTCGGGAGGGTATTCTGGATACCTTTCCATACCCATTGGTTGAAAGCTCCATAAACGTCAGGCTGAGGACGTTAAACAAGCGCTTCTTGGGAGGCAACCCAAGGTAAGTTTTCTTGTCTTTATTTTTCGTTTTAGTTGTGTCAAACTTGTGCATGTTTAGATTAGGAGTTGAACATTAGGGACAATGTTCCATCCTGAGTGTGGGGTGGCGAGTCTTAGTGTTTGTTTGTTCCTTTTCTCATGTGGTCGGTAAAAAAAAATCCAAAAAAAAAATTGCCATTAGGTTGAGCACAGCCAAACTGATTGCAGTTTGCCTGTGTAAAAAGCAAGCTGCCTGTGCAAAGCTAATGGCTAAAAAACACCTAAAAATCAGAAAAAATAAAAACAAAACCTTGTACTCTTGTGGTAACATGATGTAAATGACCGTGATGCTTTGAAAATGAGTTTGTGCTTGAAGGAAATCATCAAAATCACCCCGCTAGTGTTGAATTGCAAAGTTCTTCACAATGAGCTTGATGTTTTGACTGACTTGATATGCTTTGAATGAGCAAACTTTTTTAGCAACATTCTCTTTTGTGAGGATAGTGTAATGACTTTTGGTGAAGTAGTTAGGTGGAGAACATTGACCATTCGACATGTTTGGATACCGTGCTTACTTGCATCAATTGTGAGCTTCTGATTTTGCAACGAGTCTCTCTGTTTTGAATGTTTTAGATGGGGTGGACTGTATCTTCATAAAAGAAAACACTACCTGACAAGTAAAATATAAGAAAGTTTCCATAACAATTAAAGTGTGGGTAAAAATGCCAAAATCGTGTGAGGCAATCACTCATTGCACATGGGGATGAGGAAAGATTCAATTGAGAATCGGTTCGTGACCGTACGATGTTGCTTATCAAGTACGATCCCTAGTTGAGTGAAGTGTCATTTGAGGATGCAATGACCCTTCACACGGACCGAGGAAAAAGAGTTGAAAGAAGCCCTTATGCGAGTGCTAAGAAGCAGAAATTGCTCTTGCTCGGTCACCGGTAGTAAGAAAAAAATCCCACTTGTACTAAATACGACCACTCGGCAATTAAAGTAAAATCATGTTTGCGAAAGGCTTCCCCCATTAGTTTTTGAGACTCATGCTTAATTAATTGCTTGTGATTGGTGTGAGTAAGCCAGACTGTCCTCACGAGATATGCACCTCACTGATGTGGTTAGATTCTCCTAATAACTGTTGCACCATAAGTTGTTAATCACCCACTACCGACTATCGGAATTTGAGTGTTGCTATTTGAGTTTTTGGTGGATTTGAGTCAGTCAATGGTAATGGTTGCAAAGAACTTGAGTATGGGATGAAAGGTATGACCATTAAAGCACAACTTGTCCGTTGAGAAAGAAACTACTGATTACAACAAGAGTACAAGGAAATTTTGTATTTTGCTTTGAGTGTTGAGTCTGTAATGTGTCATTGTTTTGGATAATTATGTGTTTGTGTTGTTTGAGTCGTTGCTTAGGGACAAGCAACAATTGAGTGTGGGGTTGTGATAATCGGTTTTAATATGTCTGATTCTTGAACTGTGTGTGATTATCCCATGGTATGTTTAAGCTGATTGGTGCTATTTTAGGGCTCCCTAACCCGAGAATGGTTGAAAAACCATTACTGCCTAGTGCCATGAGTTTGATGTATTACAGGTGAAGAAAACACGGGAAAAAAAGTTGCACAGACAAACAATTCTCGAATCACTGGCTAAATAGCACGGGGGCATGGGATGGAGCAGCTGGAGGGAGATTAATGACGGACTGGTGATTATTTTGGGCTCAAGGCCCAGCTGGATTGGGATCAAAGGTGGAGCGGTCCTAATGGGCTTAAAGCCCAGCTAGCTGGGCTAGTAAATGGGACGGCAACTAATTAATTGGTGGGGGGGTTGATTTTGGACGGGAGTGAGTGGTTTGGTGATTGAATTTTGGGGAATAAACTAGGGAGGAGAATTATATTGGACGGGGGACATCTCTGGGGCAATTGATTGGAGAGACGGACGAATTTTTCTTTGGAGGAGATTGGAGGGCGAGAATTCTTTGGAGGCAAGAAAAGAAAGCGGAGGCGCAGCGAGGGTTTTTGGGGGACGAGGGAATTAGCAAGGCAGCAGCGAACAGCAGGCGATTGGAATTTGGCGATCGACCTCTTTCCAAGGTTTGAGCTGAATTCAACGAGAGCGATTAGTTGGTTGGATTTTCTAAATCGAATTAGTTGTTTCTTGTTGATTTAGAACATGATGAACAAAACCCTATCGATTTATCTTAATTTCGTCATGAACTAAACCCCGATTTCTGGGGGAAACACCATAGGATGTAGCTATTTCTTGATTTGATGAATTGATTCATGATTCTTTTCTTTCAATCTCTATTGCATGAAATTACTTAATGCTTTGAGTTGACTGGCCACCAATACAATGATTTGTAGTTAATTAGGTTATTAGCGACAGTGAAACCCTAATAACTGAACATTTTTCATGTGACATAGTAGCTTATCGAAGCGACAGTGGATTAAATAAGGTACTATGCGGTCTTGATTAGGATATCGGTCTTTAGGCTAAATAATTAAGTCATTGAGCTACGACAGTAGGATTTGAATTAATTGTTTAGTACGTAGTAATTCCCGACAGGGATAGCTAGCACATTCGTGATATCCTGGCTGTAGAGAATTGGATTAAACTGATTAGAATATGTGAATTAATCTGGATATGATAGGTAGTGAGTCCCGGTGTTTCTCCCAGAGCTTTCTCCATTGATTTCTCCCAACAACTTTAATTTGCTTGTTTTGTTTAATTATTTTGCTATTAGTTAATAATCTCATCAACCAAACCATATTTTCACTTATAGTTTGCTCATAAATTTGATAGAATATAAGGTTGTACCAGTCCCTGAGAGACGATACCCGGACTTTCCGGTTTACTACGAGATAGGAATTGAAGCTATACGCTTTTGCCCTATCAACCATTGTTGTCATTGCTAATATCCAGATCCTTTCATTTGTTTATGGCCAAAGCAAGATATTACTATCTCTGTCTTTATATCTAGATCTAAATTGAGAGAGTTGGTAGCAATATCACAAGTCGTGAATCTGTCAGTTGAAAACGAAAAAAAAAAAAACTTTCAAGAATAGAATCATACCGTGTTTATCAAATAAATAGTTCATTAATGACCATCGGAAGTACAGTTGGGGCAGATAACCCTATTAATTGCCTTGGGATAGATTATATAGATACAGTTACACTTAAGCCACCAGCAGCGAGACAAAATTTCACTTCTTACAAGACTAGGGAAAGAGAATTACAATTAACTACACTTATGTAGACCCTACATACACCTAAAATAGAGCAATCACCGGGCCACCAAAAATTTTGCCTTCGCTACAGAGGAAATTGAAAATCACAGACACAACAAGCACACTAAAAAAAATCCCCCTAATCCAATCAACATAGCCAACAGTACATCAACGTCATTGGCTGTTGCCTCCAGATTTCTTCGACTTCCTGCTCGCATAAATCTTGGCGTAAACCGGTTTGGTCCTCACTGCCAAGAGCACGTCAAGAGCGAACCCGACAATGCAAGCTATAGCCATGACGATGAAGACCATCCTGTAACAGTGAGCTCCGACGCAGGTGTTGCCTCCGCCGGGAGTAGGGGTGGCCTCGGCATCGTAGAGGAGCCCGGCAAGCAAGCCGGAGAAGAGGAAGGAGCCCAGTGGCAAGTTGAGGATCAGGATGTTGTAGATCAGGCCGTAGTATTTCAGGCCGAAGAGCTCTGATGCGGTCGGCACCGAGACAGCCAGGCGGACTCCGTAGCAGATCCCGACGACAATCGAGCCCACGTAGAGCGAGCCTGGTAGGGCCGCGGCTAGGAGGATGTATCCCACTGCCATCAGGATTTGGGATGCTGCATTCCAGAGTGGTCTTGGGGTTCCAGATTTCCTGAGATTGGTAAAAGATCGATAAGGTGAGATAAGGAAATAAAGTTTTGAGGGGATGTGAGTGAATTTACATCAGTGTCAATCAGGCCAAAAAATAAGGGGCCTATTCCTATCCTATGGACCATGGGTGAAGAAAATTCATGACTGACCCTTGCCATACCGGTTAGGGAAAGGGCTGGGGGACCAAAAGAAAAGATAGGGGCTCGAACCCACGACCACAAGGTTAAGAGCCTTGCGCTCTACCGACTGAGCTAGACGGACCAATCGTGGCAACAAGTTATTCTGACCCAAGGATTCACGGTTAGGGTAATGATCACAGCATCAAGTCTCTGAAGGAACAGAGTTTGAGCAGATATTTTTGCAGTCCCTTCCGTCCTTTCTACTGACTGGACAATGGACATCAACTTTCAAAACAAAAGACAGCCATTCATCTCTACACTAAAGTCAGTCCCTTTCTTCTATAGTCATTAATGGGTGTAAAAGCAATGAATAACGATGCAGCAGCCCCCACCAGGAAACAGGGAAGGACACGGAAAGATCACACAAGTCAAATTCTTTTGAAGCATATTGAAAGCGAGGGATAGCTACCCGCCATTACTATGTGAAAATTTTCCTTGATCAGAAACTGGTGGATGGATAGTAGTAGAAAGAAATGGGGGCAGCGTTTGTTAGTGTCTCGGTGGTCCGAGGGGCTAAACTCACTAGGGCTGTTGGATGCATCCTGCAGGTTCATCATTGGACGCATCCAACGGTCAAGAATGAGTTCCGCTCATACCAAGTACTAGTCTTCCCATCAGCAATTCACCCAATTTCGAAAGCAAAACAAATATTGTACCCCATCGGATGCCCCAAGGGACACGGTTGGGCCGAGGTACGTACTGGTAATAATATTGGTCTGATAGCAACCAGCCAAAAGTTCGGCTAGAGTTCAAGATGGGCATGTGGCTGTTTAAGTTGATGATATTTATGAGAGAAATTCTAGGAAATATCTAGCGCGTCATGATGGATACTAATTGAGTATTATTTTAGTCAATAAGAATTGATCCCAGGCCCAAGGTAAATAATAAGCTTGTAGCATATTATTTAACTAAGCAAATCAACGAAGATTCTGAAAGATAAAAATTAAGAAATTTTTGAAACGACGGGGGCTGCAATTGGGGTAGACAAAAGGGGCACCAAATGTAACATCTAGCTAGCTAAGCTACGCCAATATAACATTAAAAAAGCGGGGTGAAATTGAAAAATGCAAAATACCCACACAAAAACAAAATAACGTTGCAAGATCTTTTTGATGCTAAGATTAGTTGCTCCAAAAGTTCCATTCACATTCTCACAAGGCATTTTCCATGTTGATTCTTTTCCTACGTTTGCTTTTCCCAACTTTTTCAGCTTCTGGGCAAAGGAAACTAGCAGGCAGCCAAAAGCATGCCCAAAAAGTTCAATTGCACCCACCAAAGCCATCCAAACAGTAGAATGTACCACCTCATGTCACCGTTTACAAAAAGAAAATTATTCCAAGAATAATACACATTACATGACATAAATCATAACATTCCATGACCTACTCAAGACAATTATATTTCGAAAATGTCATTTTGATAGTACGGACCCCTATAATGATGAATCACACATTTTTGGAGGATCGAAAGTCGAAACTGATTCAGAAAAGAAAATTCAATTCACAGTTAGGTCAAATCATTCGTTTCCTAATTAAAGAAACTTGAATCAATTGGTTTGAAAATATTATATTCGAAGGAAGAGTTGAATTTTACCGACCCACTAGCCCAAAATCCCATCATTAACGTCATTACTCAAAAACACGTGCTACTTAAACACTTAAGAGCGCGAATTAAGACGGCGCGCAGATAATTAAGCAAGCAATTATTAGTAACGAAAGGAAAGAGCAGAGTGTGGGGGGAGAAGAGAACTCACTTGACAAAGTACTCTGACACCGACCCGGATAGAATCCTTCCGAAGAACCCGAAAATACTCGTCAACGATACAAAGATCGAAACGTCGACGTATCCAAGGGCCAGCCCGATTTGCCCGGTGTTGTTCATCACCGCCAAACCCGTCCCCACTCCACACAGAAACGAAACGAACAGAATCCAGAAATCCGCCGTCCTTAGCGCCTCCCCAATCGTATGCTCCTCTCCGATCACCGGCTTTCTCGTTACCTCCTCTCCATCTTCCTCCACCACCTCAACCGCCTTCTCCTCCGCCGTCGATTCCTGCAAAAGCGGTTCGTCAGTGGCGCCCTGCACCCGCTCAATGTCGGCTTCGGCGGCGGCGATTCTCAATCCGTTGACCAATTTGTGGACCGGTACGGCGAGCGGCGACGCGAGGAGGACGAGGAGAGTGATTCCGAACCCTAGGGAGAGTCCTCGGGTCGGATTGGGGGTGAAATCGTAGGCCAGTAGGAGGAACGCGACTACCACAGCGACGACATTGAATGCGGAGAAGTATTTCCCCTCTTCCTTCTCCTCCGCCATAGTAGTGGCCGGCGGGATCTCGCGGAGGAAGAAGACGGCGGCGAGGCAGACGAAGAAGGGGACTAAGGCCAGCATGAGCAGGAAAGTCGCCGGATCGTCGGAGAAGAAGGCGGAACAGAGATCTGTGAAGATTGCGGTGGACAACCCGACGAATCCTTTCAAGATCCCGGAGACCGGCCCGCGGTTGCGGCGGAAGTTGCGGATGCAGGTCACGAGCACCGAGGTGTTCATCCAGGTGGTGCTGTTGCCGCCGAGGCAGAGGAAGACGCACATCTGCCAGTAAGGCAAAGGACTGATCCGGCCGCTGACGACGAGCCACTGGACGCCGTAGCCGATGAGGCCTTCGATTGAGCCGATGAGGAGGAGGACGGGAGTGGAGAATCGGTCGGAAGCGAGGCCGGCGAGGAGGCCGAATGCCTTGCCGACGTCTTTAGCGACCGAGAGGTTGTTGAGCTGGAGCTGAGTGAGGTTCATTAGGGATTTGAGGGCGTGGGAGTAGTTGGCGAAGGTGTAGTTGTTGCCGGAGATGGCTTGGACCCAGACGGCGGTGACGAGGCCGAGCCATTTGTAGGAGGAGAGTGCGGCGGCGGAGGTGGTTAGGGTGGTGGCGTAGTCCGTTAGCCCCATTGCGGGGGAGTGTTTTCGGACGGAAGGAATTCGAATTGGAAGAAGAAGAAAAAAAAAGAATTTGGGGGAGAAAGATTTTGAGCGGAGGGAATTTTTGGAGGGGGCGGAAAAGGAAGCTGTGAGGGCGAGTTGAGAAGCGTGACGGTGTGGCAAAGTGTTCTTATATAGTATTAGAAAGGCGAGGGCCGAAGCAGTGTGGTAAGCGAGTTACGGTGGACGGGGAACGTGTTGTCTCGTTTCCGGCCATTTTTTTCACATTGTGGGAATTTGTTTCAACATTTTCCTTTTCTAAACAGAAAACGAACTAAAATAAAAATGGTCTAAACGTAAAGCATGTGTATAATATTTGTTATACTTATATATTTTCAGCCCGATATTGGTTATGTATTTTCAGCACACCTACTATGTTGGTTTGATAAATGGAGTCCTTATATTGTGAACTTTAACCAACGAAGTCATGTATTATGTTGTCGATTATTATTTCTTGCTTCTTCCCTTATATTGACCCATATGTTCCATAATTTTGTCTACAAGTTTGTAAATTTGTCTTTTACCCATCAATTTGGCTTGATTAGTCAATTTCGGTATTTACTAAGTCTCACATGATAAAAGTTTCTGGATGGGTGAGCAGTGAGTGGATTTATTTGGATTTGGGTTGATTTGGACTCACTCATTCCATGGTGGATGAAGAAGAAAATGACTCACCCACCAAACATGTACTTGTGGGTGAATTGGGTTGGGTGATTGCGGATGGTGTGCAGTTGGGGTGGATTCGGTGGGTCTATAACATATATTCCAAAATTTAATCCACCTGTACTCACCCAAACATTTGTCGATCACCTATTTTAGAACTCACACCCACCCATATGAACCACCCACAACATAATGGGTAGGTCATTTTGTTGGTGCATAACTAAAGTTGTTAGTGGAAAGCTTAAGGAATCCGAATCCTCTACGGAGAAGGATTGTGTTGTGGCACCAGAGAGTCTAGTTCAAAGGAGTCCGTCTGAATAAAAGGAAACGGCAGTGTTTGGTCATTGTTTGTTTCGGTCCAATTATTTATGTTTATGTCAAGTCTGGGCTTGTAAAGTTGTTAGTAACCACTGCGAGTCTTTAGCTTGGTAGTTGATCGTGGGAAGGATCTTGTTAGTTGTTTAGAGTCGTGGAGGCCGAGATTGGTGGCTGAAACACATGTACAAAACCTAAAGTCTTTCGTTTCAATAAAGATTGTCAGATTGCAATCAAATGAGCTCTCACACATTTGTGGATGTTTTGGGTGGATTGGTGGGTTCAACCACCCAATGCTCACCCCCTACTGGATATGCGGGAATTAAGGGCTGAAGCTGAGGCAAAATATGAATTGTAATGTACATAACATGTTTTGATAACAGGCGAGTTATACGTATCAGGTTATTATTGTCGGTCCATCATCTTGCATCATTATTATTTGGGTCATTATCATTCTATATAGTTTGAATTGGATTTGTGTACTATTATTATAAGTATATTATTCCGTTTAAAATAAGATTGTAGCATCGATCATAGTTGTGTACTTCTGGTGAATGCACTTCTTATATTAGTACCACTTGTTAGTGAGTCGGTGAAAAATTCTCTCTTTTTCGTTCGATAAAAAAATCTCTTTACAACACATGCGATGGATTCGTAATGTGGTTAGTAACCACGAGTATTGATATAAATTTGTTAAGAAAATCATATTACAGGGTTGTGTTTGTTAAAGTAAGATAGATCTATGTACCTAAAATTTTGACCCATTTGAAATTAATGACCAATTAGGGTAAAATAACTTATTATTTCAACAAAACGAATTAATTTTTTTAAGCTTTTGATGTGGAATAATAATGATAAAGAATCGGCTTCTTATTGACTATACCGAAAGTCGAATCAATTTTTATATATACCTTTTTGTTAATTCAATTATTTGTTTGGAAACCTCCTCGGAAAGTCCACAGTAATGCTAATGCAGCTGAACTCGTAGCTTTAATTTTGTCTCAAATTTCTAGAATCCCACTAAGAACAGTATTGTATTTTGTGCAAATTGCTCCTCCTTTTGGTAAAAACAAATATTTGTTGTCCTTCTTTCTTCCTCCTCCCGAGCAAGTAAGTAATTTTGCGATTGCCGATTGTTCGTTTTATAATGTCAAGTGGGCGGGCAGGCAATTGCCGGGAAAGAGGAGCCCGAAATAGAGAGACTCCTCCTCCTCCTCCTATTATTCGTTTTTCAATATTTTAATGATTGAAAATGAGAAAAGTTAACAAGTGGGGCGGGGAGAGAGAATGGGGAAGAAATATGAGGACCGAGATGGAGCTTTCTGGGGGAAAAAGGATGGAAATTGACACGTACGGTTCTCCGTTGGAGATTGTTGTAAGGTCTTAACGTCGACGCGTCCGTTTGCGAAGCAATACCATCACGTGGCCTTCGTCATGGGCCTGTACAGAAGAATCTCGTATCTACGCTCCCGAATATACGCTTCCTATACAATACAAACCTTTTCTCCTCTTAATTGAGTTATCATTGATTGTTGATCGATCTTGAGAAAAAATAGTGTAGAATACAAAATGAACTGTGAAGTACGAACAAGTACGGAGAAAATAATTCTGTATTAATTAGATGGCGTCTAGAAAAACGAAGTCTACAAATCGCGAAAATGAACGCACTTGTGTATATACTTAATCAAACCCATAGTTACGAGCAATATGCGGGCGGGAAGAAAAAAAAAACAGCTTTCTGAGTTGATGAAAGACCATTGCTTCGGACAACCTGCCAACCTCAATCTTCAAAATTCAACCTATAGCCCAGTTAATTAACAGTCATATCGCTTTTCTCTTTGAAACTTTATTTAATTGTTTTTTTCAATTAAGGACAAGTCTAACTAATTCATATTTATCAATAGGGTAAATTCTATTGTAGATTACCTGAATCATTAAGGGAGTTGCTAAAAGTCACCCTTAAAATTGCTAACGCTAAAGGTCGCCCTAAAAAGAATCAAAGTTACACTTTTAATCCCCTTAGCTTCTTTACCTTCCCTTCCTCAAACAAACATCACTTGGACTAAAAAAAACACTATCTAAGGAGAGAAAAATCCATCATTGTCATTTTGAAGCCGATATCGTCGGTAGGACGTCTGAATCATGAGTAGCGACTCCGACGAGGTAAAAACATGAACTGGAAAAAAAACACAGAAAATGGGAACCGCGGGTCACTTGCGGTTCGACCATGGTCCAACCGCAGGTCACTTGCGGTCCAGCCATGGTCCGACCGCAGGTCACTTGCGGTTCAGCCATGGTTCAACCGCAGGTCACTTGCGGTTGGGCGTTTTTTGGGTTTTTTTTCGTTGAATAATTTTCTATTTTTTATATGATTTATGATTTGTTTCATGAGATAATTTGTTGGGTTTTGATTTATATAATTTTCTAGATTTATTTGCATAATTATTTTTGGAATTGAAGGATTTAGCATTAGAAATTAAGATTAGATTTGGCCTTAAATTAAGATTAGATTTAATTTGGTCTTAATCTAGAAAATTAAGATTAGATTTTGCATTACAAATTAAGATTAAATTTATTGCATAAATAATAGATTCGCATATGAAGTTATGATGATTATTAAATTTAATATAGTTATGAAATTTTAAATTTATCATATGGTACTCGTTAAATTGACGATATAGAATGTTAAGTTTTTTTTTAAATTTGTGGGGTATCACTTATAAATTCTGATAACATTGCAGGATATTGGAAGTTACAATCCGGATGGCCATGATTACACCTCGGATTTCATTGATGACATGAAATACACTACCGAGTTGCAAGCATATGAAGCAGCTACTGAGATTGCCAAGGGTTTTGGGTTTTATTTGGTGAGGGCATCGAACAAAAAAAATAAGAATGAAGGTACTTGGCGACATTACTTACATTGCACTCATGGTAGGAAGAAGAAGTCGAAGGAGCCTGATCTGAGTAAGGAAAGGAGGCCTCTTACATCTAATGAAAAGCTGGGGTGCGAGTTTTAGATCAACCTTGAGCGGTCATGTGATGGATATTGGTTGATCCTAGGGGTGGCAAATACAAAGAATCCTGGTGCTAATTTGGGTTTCCACAATCATCAGTTGGAGCTATTTCTGGAGGGATCAAAGGGAAGGAATGTTTTGACTACAGAGGATAAGCAATACATAAGAGAGCTGAGATCAGCCGGTGTCCCACCAAGGAATATTCACAAGGCAGTGAATGAGAGAAAAGGTGCAAATGGACGTGAGCGGCGACGGGCGGCGCGAGGATGATCGGCGACGGGCGACTGGACGCGACGGGCGACTGGACGCGAGGATGATCGGCGACGGGCGACTGGACGCGACGGGCATCGGCGATGACTGGACGCAAGGGCGACTGGCGAGATCGGGGCTTCGGCGGCGGCGAGATAGGTCGACGGCGGCGAGCGGCGACGATCGGTTGGCGGCGGCGCGGGTGAGAGGAGTTGAGTCGCGCTGGTGTGAGGAGTTGAGGGGGGAGGAGAATGCTAAGGACTTGTTTGTTTAAGCCACATTTGAGTTTTTGCTTAAGGGTATATAAGTAATTTTATATTTAAGTTAGGGCGACATTTAGCAATTCTTAGGGCGACATTTAGCGATTCAGATCATCAATAACACCATATGTCTTGTTTAATTGCATATTGTTGGGGATATGGAGTAGGTACGCACTCAACGCCACCACCCACGCGTGTCAACGTGCCATGAAGAGTGGTTCATTGTGTGGAGAAAACGAGCCTAAGGCGTAAGGTGGCCTAGAGAAGCATCCGCACTAACACATGATCACGTCCGAAGAATAACCTTAGTTAGAACTTAGAACACACATCATCGATCATGTCTATTGTCACATCGCATTTAAAACTCACCCACTGGAATTGAGGACCGTTGTCGCGACGGGCCGCCGAAATGAATTTTGAAATTGTAAATAGAGCATTTACTACAGTGGGTAGAGGGGTAGTT